TATCTAGGAAAAAAACAATTCAAATCTAATTCTTATTTTAATTAGGATAACACCCAGTTAAAATTTTTAACAATTTGAACAAGAATCATGTACACAAATCGAAGAATTGATCTCAACTCCAGAAAACTTAATTTGATCATGAATCACACGGTCGACTTTTGAAGGAACTCTCTGAACAATATAGAATGTAGCTATAAGGGGATCTCCAACATGTGCACCAATTTGGTGTTGGGTTGGAGTGTGTTAAACGTAATATTCTTTTTAAATCGTAGTATTAAGTGTAGTGATTTTCTTCATTTATTAATATATGCAATATTTTAGATAATTAAATATAATTTTTAATTGATTAATTTTAGTATTAATAATTTTTAAATAAAATTAATTGTTTAGTCAATTTTGGCCTTGTCACAAGTTTCTCATTCACTTCACTTAAATTTTTGTTTTTCCCCTATGATTTTGTCCGGAAAAGGTGAAATCCAGTGTATGAGAATAGGGTTGTGAATTTGGAGGATAGCTAATCGTAAGGGCCATCTTGGGATCCTCGTGTCCATAAAGAGACATAAAAGTGAGAAAAGAAATCAATCAAGTAATCATAGCTACACACCATTGTACTAGTGCTACGAATCAACCCGGGATTGCATTTTATCGTTTCATGATAATAAATTAAATTTTATTTCTAATAAATTTGATCAAACACATGGTATAAAAAAAAATTTCATAATAAGATTCTATTAAGGTTAAAAAAAAATTGCTTTGCACGATAGTTATGAGATTTCTATTTGAACGGTACTAAATGTTGGAACGTGAAAGAAAATATCGATACAAATCGTGTAGCGAGAATGCTAATATTAAGCACATGTTTAGTTTAACTAAAAAAATTATAAATATTTAGATCAAAAATAAAAATTAATTTTAAACACACAGTTCATGGGATCTATAACTTTTATCAAGTTTTTAATCATATGTTTTATCAAAATATACTAAAAATTCGTTTTTTCAGCAAACTCAAATAGGGACTAAGATAGAATTGTAAGAATAATAAAATGGTAAATATAAAAATGAGATTTGCACCAAGAAGTGAAGACCCCAACGCTTCAAGATAAATTAAAGAAATAACAAATTAGAGTCTATTTGATTGCAAATGTGGAAAATAGGTGGAAAAAAATGAATTTTAGGGAATTGAATTGCTTAGAAATTGTTTTATTGAGAATTATAATTAATTGTGTTTGATTGGTATAATTTTCCACCTGAAAAATATTGAAAGTTTGGTATCCGTTTGACTTTGTTTTTATGGAAATTGTCCATTAAAGTGGTAATTTCTTTTACCTTCGGGTCTAAAATTTGTTTCACTTGCAAAAAATTAAAAAAATTTATCATACCGAATACCCTTCGTTTGGCTTTATTTTGTATGAAAATTGTCAATAAAAGTGATAAATTTTTTCACCATTGTGTCTAGAATTTTTTCTAATTGCCAAAAAAAAAAAAAAAAGATAAANAATTGCCCAAAAAAAAAAAAAAAGATAAAAAATCATATTCCCACTCGAACCAAAGGAATTTGAATTCCTTGATTCAAGGAAAAATGGGCGCGTGACGGCGTGAGCATGGCTGGAGGAAAATAAATCCCAAGCAAAATTTGTGCTATCAAACATAATGAAAAGTGGGAAATTGAATTCATTTTCTATTTTCCTTGAAAAATTAGGCTTATCAAACGGGGCCTTAGATAATTATTATAGGATGCTGATATCAAGAAAACGTGTTACAGGAGAGGGAGTATATAAAATTTAGAAGGTTTGATATGATTCTTAAAGGATTTAGCTATTCTAAATAATCAGGTATATCTAATAATAAAACCAAATAAAATGAGATAAAATTCAAAATTTCAGTAGACTTTGATAACAGTTGATGTGATGTATTATTGAAAAGTTGTGAGTTCTATCCAATATGTGATTATAATTAATTATTGACCTTGATTTAAATTTAAATTCAATTTTTAATCTGAATCGGATGTGGGCAAAGTAACGAAAATCAATCCTCCCCACCTACAATATTCTCACATCTCGTGGCATGCTACTTGGAATTCTTCTCCAAATCCCTAAAGCAAGAAAGCAAATAGAATAGACTAGAAACAAAACACAAAGGAGTGTGAATTGGTGAGAAATTAAAGATTTATTGATGGACTTCTTCCACCAATTAAAGATACAACAAGAGACAATGGAATAAAACATAATCTAATATAGTTTCAAACATGTTCAAAAGCTAAGAAAAATGTGGGACCAAATTAAAACAACTGTCGAACACAAATGTTCTTCTTGTACATTGATTAATACTAGATGATGACTGGATTCACCTTAAACATATGCTTTTGGGTATAAAAAAATAGGGTTTTGTCACCTCTAAGAAGATATGCCTAGATCTCATTGAAGACCCTAATGAGTATATATGCTTACATCATTACCCACTTACTTATATTCCTTGATTTGCAACTAATCTCCCATCATTTTTTTAATGCAATCCAAGAAAATATTGGTCAAGATTAACATATTTGGGCTTGTCTTTATTATTGTATGTGGAGTGTGCTCAACCATGTTATTTAAACTGCTAGGAAGTCAATTGTGTGCAAATGAAATTTATTTTTCAATAATATGAATAAAATTTACTCTAACTATATATATCGATACTATATCAAACATTTATGACAGTTGATTTAAAAAAATATAAAGAGTTAAGGATCAAAATAATCGATTTGAGGTCAAACTAGTGGCATAAAAATTAAAATGAAATTTTGGTGTGATCCGACTAGTTTTGAAATGAATCGACTTGGATTGACTGAACCTACGAGTTCTCAAACTTTTTTAATGGTTCTAATTTTTCAAATGTTGACCTATAATTGGATATGTTTCTAAATTGATTTTCAAATTTTTTTCCAGTTAAATTGGTTGATCAATTTTCTAATTTTGATTAAACGGTCTAACAATCAATTAAATTAAAAAACAATTTTATTTATTTATTTATTTATTTAAAGATTGGCGAGGCTGGATAAATACAAATTGCCTCAAATAATTGTATCGTATGAACATAATTTGGGGTTCTGTAGAAGATGGGACTAAACACCCATAGATATTTTATCTAGTTTAATTTTTTAACCTTCTGGTAGAGAAACAAATCATGAATGCCCGCTCAATCAAAGTAAGCTGAATTCAATTAACAGTTTAAACACAATGATAGATTTATTGCAAAAGGCTAGATCTCCTAATTCCTTCAAATTGATTACATCCTATCTTTTTTTGACTTTTTTGTTATTATCTTAATATAATAACATTTCCTCCTTTTGAAGCATGGAATATTTTTATCTAATTGCTCGAGTGGAATTATAATTGAAAGTGCTTCTTTTTTCATTTTTTAATAAGGTGCATATAGACCAATTTTTCATATATATATATATATNTTGACGTGTCACATATACGAATTTCATAATAAGTAATAGGAAAATTGGCCCTGTTTGAGTTCCATTATTTGAAAAAAAAAATTGATTTTGAAATAGTGTTTTTTGAAGAATGTAATTTAAAAGTAAAGAGAATTTTTGAGTTTATGTGTAATATTATTTTATTGAAATAATATGTGATTGATAAGAGGATAGAGAGAAAGATAAATTAAAATTTAATGGGGGACAAACATTTAAACTCTCCACAATTGTTTTTCGTGATATCATGTCAAACAATTTCATTTTAAAACTTGCTTGTTTGACACAAAAGATGAGATTTTTTAAATAGCACTAAAGAAAGAAAAGAAACTAAGCCTCTGTTTGGCTCGTGTTATGATGCAGGAGGATACGAGTCAGATGCTGAGTTGTCAGATAACACGTTCATAGCTCTAAAGTATCACGAGTTAGCATATCGGTGCAAGGACGGCAAGTGATCGCGTAACTTTGGTAATTGAGTCGTGTTTCGGTAATTTGGTCATAACTTTGGTTACGGTTATCAAAATCGCGATTATAACCATAATCCGAAAAGCTTGTTTCGGGGCGCACGTCGTGGTCATGCACCAAGCTTAGCCCGGTGTGTGTGCCGTTTTCGACCTCAAATTTCGCTGTTTTCCCTTCTGAATTTCTATTTTTAGTTAAAATTTGCTATTTTTGATAATATTTCGATTGCATGTTAGGAGATGATTTTTAACCCGATTTGGGCTAGATTTTTCGTAGACTACTTATTTTATTCCATATTTTCGCTTGACATGATTTTTGAAATTTTGTCATTTTTGTTAAAATTCAAATGATTTTTGAAATTTTACCATTTTTTAAAAATTCAAAATTTTCCTATAAAATTCGGCTTGTGGATTTATTTTAATCATTGAGTTATATAATAAAGTTATTTAACTTCAGAGACTTTTTTCTGTATATTCGGCGTTAATCTCGTATTCTTTCATGTGAATTTGCCGGTAGAACTAGCCTGCAGAATAATCATTATTCTATCCGACGTCATGTTTTTAAACTATTCATAAACACTTGAGTCACTTTTATTCACAGATTTTGATGAATTTACAAATACTATCCATCTATGCATAACTCATTTCTACTTATTTGTAATTTAAATCGTTTATATATAATTCCCATGGCCAAATGTAACGAGCAACCTTCTACTTTTACATCGGAATTCACGAAAAAAAAAAAATTAAAATCTTGCTGTTACATTGCATCATTCTCTTTTTTGTTGTGAATTGAACATGTACTAAAATTATTAGATTATTTTGAAAAATGTAGAAAACAATTTTGCATGAGACACAACTTCCCTAATCTGATTATTCATTTTTTATCCTTTTTTATTGACCTTTGGTACATTTATGCTGTTCATGAATATAAAATGATCTTAATATATAGACGCATTGCATATATAGCAAAACCAATAGGATTCAGTTTACTATATAAGGAAGAGGGGCATAACACAAATCGTGCATCATTTCTTACAAAAATACATATTTTTTCTTCTTTCTCATAGTAATCATAAATGGGAAAAGACTTTTCTGTTCATGAATTTATTGATGTATCCCCTCCCAAAAAGTTCAAACTTTTCGGTTTCGAGCTTAATCCACATGAAAATCCATCTGCAGAAAGGGATGAAAGTGTAAATTCATCGTCGTCTTCCTCTACTGTGACGAATCAAAAACATGTTTTGGATGAGAAAAATTTAGCAGATGACAAAAAATTCAGGTGCCAATTTTGTTATAAGGAATTTGCAAATTCACAAGCATTAGGAGGCCATCAAAATGCCCACAAAAAGGAGAGAATGAGAAAAAAAAGGCTGCAGCTTCAAGCAAGAAAAGCCAGTATTAGTTATTTCACTCAACCTTTTCAAAATAGCCATTATTTCAATTTCCATCGCTCGGGATTTGCGCTCCACGAGGGTTCGCATATAAACTTCCGCCCCTACGATTACAGTGTGGAGGCTGATATCAACAGCCACGAAATTTCCATGTGCGCGGCAGCTGTGGCCCTGCCGGCACAAGATACATGCTCCAGGTTCACTCTTACACAAGCAGACAGATCAAGAACCACCAGGCTTGTCAGCAACCCTTCTAATTTGCCTAGTTCTAAGCAGAAATTCAAATGTTTAGATCTCCAATTACGTTAAGAGTTTTTGTTCCTGGGCTACTAGATAAGTTTGAACTCATTATCTATGGATCCTGTCAAGTACCGTTTTGTTAGTATAAAGTTTTGACAATAATATACATAAAATTTGTAGTTTTTTTTTTCCCTTAATTTTTTCTGATGTTGTTGGTTATTGGATTTAACCATTACAAGAGAAAATCAATTTTCTTTTGTACATTAAACTCATATGAATGTTGGATCTTAATCACCTTAAAATCATTGGATTTATTTTTTAAATTCTCACACATAAGGGCAGGGAATTAACCTTTGAAGGGGCTTAAAGTGACCTTTCAAATTTTCTAACCAAGCTTCCTCCCCTGACCCTTCTCCCTTGATCTCTTTTAAGTGCTTCCCTTTTGTGAAATATGAGAGAATATGACTAACTCTAAAAAGTATCAAAATATGTCCATAAAGGACATATTTATAATGCTCAATTAGATTTTCATAATTGCACAATTTTTCTTAGACTTTATTGTAGTAGATCAATTAAATCACACACCTTTATTAGAGCTAAGAAAAGAATCTAACGGGACTCATAAGATCCAAGCTCCAGTAGATATTACTAATTGTGTCAACTCTTCACCAATTAAGATACATATATTAATCCCGATTTATTCTACCCAAAAAATCAAAATTACAATCTCGAGTCAAGTGATAATTATGGAAGCAAATTACAATCTGATAACAATATCCTCCGATCATTACTCCACAAGTCAACCCCCATTTTGACCGTCATATGTTAAAACTGGCAAAATAACCATTTTGCCCTTTCAACGTGTACTGCCCTTCAAGTCCAATTTTCATAAAGCAAATTCTTTGTGAACAAATTAGAACTTAAAGTCCAGTTATCTCATCGTCAAACTAGTGAACTCAGATTTAAAAGCCTCATAATAACGATCTTCACAATGATTAATGGTTCCCATTATTGCATCTCTAACAGTTTAGCCCTGATTCCCAAATTAAGCACAAAGATCAATCTTCTAATTAAAATTTCACTTATTGGAACCTCAAAAAACTTGAACTGGCAATCAAAGATACATTAGTTTCAACCGGAACATCTCCAAGATTAGTCTCAGCCCCAACATCTATTTCATCACCAAGTCCGTTATCCCTTTCATTTCTAACATCATTTTCATCCCTTTTTATCTCTAACATTTCTTTCATCAGTATTTTTCTCATCACAAGAAAACGTAGATTTATGTTCAAAGAATTTTTCTATAACTAATACATATAATCTGTGAACAAAACAAGAAGATCTACTTCGTAAGAATTCTAAGACACATAATCTGTCAACATTGATCCATTCATGTCAATGCATCAAAACTATCTATAAGAAATATTTTCATTGACTATATACTTCGAATAAACTATTGTCTTGAGTTGAGATAACTCTTTTCATTCTACTTTCTTTCTCCTTTATACGTCCACGAGTAATTTAGAGTGAATTTAATGTTTGCGATAATTCAAGAGTTAGAAACATTAACTACAATGACATTAAGAAGATTAAAGTAGTTCAACTCTGAATTGAATGAAATAAATGAAGCAGCAAAGATAATTACAGCAACACACATGCAGGTGCAAATCAATCAAGCAATCCACAAGCAGATAAGTCTAATTTGAATTAATTGAATATCTATCATCACACAGTCAGGAAATTGTGAAGAACATATCTCGTATTGAAGCACTTGCAATAGTGCATATTTAACCTGGAGAATATTAAACTTCTGTTTTGGATAAGAAATAAAAATGAGCAAAGAAAATATAGAAAGATTTGCCAAGATATACAATGCGTCCCAATTCACAAGAGATAAGAACCCCAAGTGAACTCTTTCAACAAAAACCCTCAAGAAACGGTATATATATGGAAATTTAGGGGAAATAATGGACAGTAAAACTACTCGAAAACTTCAGATAAATCAAAATTCTACTGAGTATAATCTTTGTGACATAAAAAGTGCCTATAACTCTATTGTACCTGTTGTAAAACAAACAGGATATCATAATCGCTCTGATACCACTAGTTGTGTTAATTATGCCCAGAATCTCTGATACCAATTATTGTAAATTCAAAGATCACATATCGCTCGATACCACTTGATATGAAACCAACCACCGGGTTGAGATATTGAAGTTATATGGCACAATAATGAAGTATTCGATCACAAGTAAAAAAATAAAAAAAGACAAGGAAATATGGCAGAGGAATTATGAGATTTTATTTCATCACAAATAATGAAGATGGAAAGAAATTACAATGATTCTAAAAGCAATAAATCATTTTTCTCACACTATAAAATTGTATAGAAGAGCCAAATATTTATAGAAAACATGTAGGGGACATCCAAACTCTAATAGAAGAGTTGTAGTTAAAGTAGAATACCAAAAACCTGTTCAAACGCGAAAAGGGACGGGGCCGAATAACCATGTCACTCGAGCAATAAGCTAACGACAAGTTCATCGTTTGAGCGACAAGCGAGTTACCAAGTCTCAGAAGAAAACCTGCAGGTGTTGTTCGAGCAACCACCTAACAATAGGCTAGCGAACATGCATCAACGTTTCTTCCCAGTCCATAATTTCATTCTCTTCAAGCCCAATACAAATTACCGACTCCCAATAGGATTTCCAAATCGAATTTCAACATGAATAAGACTCCAATAGCATTCCAAACTGAATTCCTCTTGATATGCACTTCAATTATTTTAATAAGAAATTCGGGTCATACACTAATTCTAACAATCTTCACTTTAACATGAATTCCATTGCAACTAATAAAGCTCCAAAATTTTCTCCCACCTGGAGAAGAAAATGCGTCTACAAGGAACAAACTGAACTTTTCAATAATAACTAAAACTGATTTCTTCAACAAATATAAAATAATCCATATCTTCCAATGAATTCAAGCACTACTTTGTAGAATTACTTCAAATTCTCAAAAAATCATAATGATTTTGAAATTCACCAAACTGGGCTTAACACGCCTCAAAATAGAATCAAACTCAAATGCTTTTAAAGAAGGCCTCTTGCTAGATTGTACACCTTCTACTACACTGAAAATATGCACAACAAAATCAGCATCCACATATCTTTTTCCACTGGGTCCGTCCCTAGCAATATTATATAATGGCACCGCAGATGATGGTGGCAAAACAACATTATCCATATCTCCTGAACTCCACTGATCTATATTCTTCAAATCCAACCATTTACGAGCTTCTAAAGGTATTATACCTAACTGAATGTTTATCATGGTATTGAACTCGTGCTGATTGACTCTTCTAGATTCTGCACGACCCTACAAGATGTATAACTGAGACCTTTTCTGTTTCTCCAATACAACCTGGGCACCCTTACAAACCTTCAAAACTCCACATCCACATCCACCTCCACCAAACACCTCATAATCCTTTGATTCAATGATAGACAATGAAATGAGATTCTTCTTCAAATTCGAAACATATCGAACATGGCGAAGTATTCTAATTGTCCCATCCAATAGCTTCAATCTGACCGTAGCAATTCCAACAACCCGAGAAGGTGTGTTGTTTCTCATAGCCACGACACATTTGGAAATAGTTTTATATGTAGTAAATAAGTTTTTATTAGGACACATATGAAACACATACGTTGTATCCAAAATCCAATCCTCATCTGGTTTAGATTCGATGTCAGAAATATCCAAGAGATCTCCCTCACTTACAATGTTCTCTGCGAAGTTTGCTTCACCTAAAGTCTCTGATTGCTTCCCATATCTACCTGCAGCCAACTTTTCTTTATTCTGCAATTTGTAGCAATACTTTTTCATGTGCCCTTCCTTTTGTAGGAGTTGTAAATCTGATTACTGAACTTAGATTTCAACATGCATCTTCCAGAACCACCATGAGCAACAAGACATTCTCCATCTCTGGCCTGAGACACCAGATGGTGCATCTTCTCTTTTGAAAACAAAGTATTATACACCTCCTCTATGGTGAGAATATTATGACTATTCAAGATCGTGTTTCTAAATGAAGAAAACAGAGTGGGCAACGAATAAAATAGGATCAATGTCAAATCTTCTTAATTATACTTTACTTCCAACGTTTCCAAATCAGCGACTATCTCCTTAAATACAACCCAACGATCTTCCAATGATTCCCCTTCTACCATTCGATGAGAGTATAAACACTGCTTGAGATGCATCTTGCTTGTCAGACTTTTAGTCATGGACAATTGCTCCAACTTCAACCATAAAGCAACTGTTGAACCCTTCTTCAAAATGTACTGGAAAATGTATTCGATAGATGAAGATAAATGTGAGAAACTACCTTCTTATCCTTCCGTAATTTCTCATTTGTGGCCAAAGTTACGGGCATCTGTCAATTCCCAATAACGCATCATCCAAATCCTGATGTGTGAGTACTACTTGCATCTTAACCTGTCATAGCGAAAATTTAGTGCTCGGATCCAAAAATGAAATGTCATACTTCATGTAATCCACCAAGAACAAAAATCTCGAACAAATCAAACATTACGCTCTGCGAAACTGCTGAACCTAGACTCTGATACCACTTGTTGTAAAACAAAGATACCAGATTCGCTCTGATACCACTTGTTGTGTTAATTATGCCCAAAATCTCTGATACCAATTGTTGGGAATTCAAGAATTACGTATCGCTCGATATCACTTGATATGAAACCAATCATCGGATTGAGATGTTGAAGTTATATGGCACAATAATGAAGTATTTGATTACAAACAAAAGAATAAAAGACAAGAAAATATGGTAGATGAATTATGAGATTTTATTTCACCACAAACAATGAAGCTGGAGAAGATCTTAAAAGCTAGGGATCATTTTTCTCACGCTATAAAATTGTATAGAAGAATCTAATATTTATTAGGAACGTATAGGGGATGTCAAAACCCTAATAGATGAGTTGTAGTTGAAGTAAAATGTCAAAACGTGTTAAAACGCGAAAAGAGTCTAGGCCGGATAACCTTAT